GAGCCTTGCCGAGAACTCCTGTATTACTCCAATTTTGTTGAGCATTGCAACCGGATCCACTCATCATGTGGAATATCTTGGAACCACATACAGCTTTTAAACTCAATGTGTTGTGTGTGTGTATGGAGGGAGGGAGGGGGAGGGAGGGAGAGGAGCGGCACAGAACGTCCACAAGTTCAATTCCCATTAGAGGTTTGAATCCATAAAATAGATTACTCATATCTAAGGAGTCCTTGTAAATCCTTGTAAATGCAAAAGAAGCCATATGATGGTTTCTGATGATCAACATAACTGAAGATATAGAATAAAGCCAAAATCATATTTCCCATTCATTCAGTACCAAATATCAATTAATAGTTAGTAGCGTAAAATCTACATATTTAGATATATTTGCACATAACTACATAAGTACAACATATAAAGTACATCATAAATTAATATCCAAACATAGGCTATGTATACTTTGATCCATTCCAAGGCTTATCCAGATACATTCTCAGAAAATGGGTTAAGTCAGTATCCAGATTGACTATACATATGAAAACTGTCTCTTTAAAAGATACCGATTACCCAATAATTCAACTCTTGGAAAACATGAAGAAACTACTCTCCATCCCCCCACACACTATATAGTTTGCAAGAATATAAGAGCCTGCATTCCAGGAATATTTAAGTCGGGATATTGATTGAAATTACAAGCAAAATTATCCCAAGAGAATAAACCTGCACTAGCAATTATAAGACTGATCCTTTTAAAGAGTATATTTCCTTTCATAAAAGCTGAAAAGTTTCCCAGAGCTTCTATCTATTCCTTATTTGAAATTATCTATGATGGTCAGACTTTTACAGTACCTGTCAGTTTGAAAAATAAGGGTAATAGTAAAAGCAATCTTAAATTCCCACATTAATAACAAATCCATAGAAACCTATGTCTTGGCTCTCCCTTTCCTATCTCACATCTTACCATTGTTCTGCTTGCCTCTATAACTTCCAATTTGTACTTAGCTTGCCTTTTTGTCCTTAACATATTCAATACAGGTGATAATCTACCATAAAAACATTACAAATTACAAAGAAGACCTAAATAAAAATATCAAACCTTTCCTGCAGTTGAAGATCCAAATTCACAATAGTAACAATTATTAATTGAGGATTTTCCCAGTTAACCACATCTTATACCAAAAAAGTCTTCAAGGGTTATTTGATAAAAGACTAATTATTTTATATTTCATATCCTTATCATAATAATAGATTGGAATATGAAATTTTATGATATAAAAATGGCTTAATTATTCAACATTTTTCCCCACATGCGGAAAACTGCATACTAAGGGGATGCATGCATATATACACCAGTGGCATTGAGTATCCATTTTTTTTCCAAAATGAAAATTCAGTATAAGAATTTTAGAGCAAATTAAAATATCTCATGGAGGTCTTAACACAAATCTTAAAAGCAGAACTTTTAACAGTAGAACAATATTTGGGGTGCTCATTAAATACAAGACTTGTTTGGGAGTAAGGCAGAAAGTCTTCTTTGATCTGAACTTCATAGATTATTTACAAAGGTCTGGGTATGCTAAACCTTCCATCTGAGTATGCCATAATTCCTTAGACATTTGGAATGTCATCTTTTAACCATATTTATATAAGTTTCAGAATAATAATCAATTGTAATTGTTATGAACTATAATCAAATCATTGGAATAGCATGCTAACCACAAGGATATTTCACATCAATCGTTACAAAAAGAATGAATGAAAGTAAATGAAAGAATGAAAGTGGTTGTGTATGAGTGAGTGCTTTTGCCCATTTTGTTGTTTCTTTGTTTATATGGAAATAATATTTCAGTATGTAGGGAGAAATTTTAAAGTAAGTTTAATTAATTAGGAATAGATATTTAAGAACTGTGTAAAACAAAAATACAATCAAGAATTAATTCATACTGAATGAAAAAGGATTCAACAACGAAGTGAGTTACAGTACAAAAGAAGTACATTGAGGTAAAACTCAGTCATGGAGTGAGATTGAAGATCAATTTGATAGGAAATATACAGATTCAGATGAAGGTTCAAATGAATAATAATTGACCAGCCAAGGAATTCATGGTGCTATGGCATTAAGGATCCTTAAAACAAGAGGCAAATATTTAAAGGGGAAAAAAAACAATGAATAAATTGCAATTTGTAAAGGCAATTAATACATTTGTGTATTGGTATATTTGAAGTCATAATGGTTTGCAAGAATAGAAAAATCTGGAGTATAATGAGCAGCATTGCTGTAGACTTTCTTTTTCCCCATGCTTTTTAAATTCTTGGCAGCAACAAAAGTTTTTGTTTGTATTATGTTCTACGCTGTTATCTCCACCAAAAAATGTTAATTAAATAAAAAATGATCCAATGGGAGTACTAAAAATTGATAAAATAAAATAAAACCGGGAGGCACTACTGCAAACACTCTCCATTGCTGTAGACTATATTTAGCTATAATTCTTTTTCTTTCTTTCAATCTTTACTTCACTATTTTTTTACTCTTTGTCATTATTTGCTTATCCCAAATAAGAACAGCATGAACATATGAAATTAATTAAAGCATAAATGAACTTAATTCCTAAGATGCATTTGTGTCCTTACAAAATAAAATATCAGTAGAAGGATCTTCTGTTAATATTAGCATGCTAAGGTTTATATTTTCTTTGAAAAGCACATGCATTTTTTGCATTTTAATAGAAAGCTGTTAAGAATGCTGACACTGTATAGGTGGAGTCAGGAGGAAAACGGGGAGAACAGTGTTCAGATAAATAGATAGGTAATATAAATTCCAAGTGTACTTTTTAAATCACAATTACCATTTTAAGTGTTACAGCCTCCAAACAAAATGTGTACATTTGGAAATTTTTATTTCAAGGTTAAAAGAAAACACTGAAGCTATTTTGAGGATTGTTCCATCAGAACACAGCCAATTCAATCCTTTTTGATGAAAAATTTCAAATGAATCTATTTTGTTCCAAATTTGCAGCAAAATACATTCCCCATTTTGTACATTTTTAAACAAAACATTGTGTAAGGCTAACAAGGCAAAAACATACATTTTAATAAATAGTTTGGAATTAGGTTTCTGGCTAAAGTTACCATTATGTGAGCAGGTATAATCACAATTCCTTGCACTTAATAAGGGTTTATGGTACTGTCAATTTCCAAGTGAACCCACGGGTTTACAAATGTTACTTATCTACCCAAGAGGTCAAGGTATATATTTCAGTGAATGTGTAATATCAAGTCATTTTTTTTGTCTTTATTCAAGAGTTGAGAAGTTTGACAAGTTTTAAAAGCCATGAGAATTGTAATTCCAGTCATAAATATTCAGTCACTGGACATCATGTGGCATATGCATTTAATTTGTTATTGTAGTTCTGTTCCAGTCTTAGATCCAGATCAAACATAGGTGTCCACAAGGACAATGAAAGAAACTGAAGGCATTGTTGCATATACATTTTCTTCCATTGAACTTTTAATCTGCATTTAGAGCTGAATAGATCCTTTATATATTAAAATTGGAGTTAAAATAATGTTCCAACCTGTCTTGCATAGATACCTACCAAGTCTATGTCACAAAGATTCTGAACATGTGGTTTTGTTATATATTATATACTATAATGGCTGTAATATTTAATTTTAATATGACTGAACAATATGTACTATCATCAGTCATCTGGAAGTATAAAATGAATCAAGCACATTATACATACATACATACATACATACATACATACATACATACATACATTCATACATACATACACACAGAAATATTTCAGAAACAAGTTTAACTGTATTCAAATGAGAATTTGTGTATTTGTAAAAAGATCCAGCTACCAAATTACAGACTATGCAGACAGGAAATTGTTGGAAATGTCAACTGCTTTTATTTACATGCTTTACAAAGTGCTCCTCTAACACAGCTTCCCATCATATCAACATCTTGATTGCCAGAAAAATAGGGAGTCTAAAATCATGGAGTAGGATGGTGAGTGGATATTGTTAAACAATTTTTTTATAGAGTGAACTGCCAAAGCTCCATGAAGTTGGGATATAGTTACAATCTGCTGAGCCCAATCTTTGCTCTTCCCAATTCTGGTCCTCCATGCATATCACATATAATAGAAAACATATAATCTTTCTTGCCAATTCTTTCTCTGCCCATTTTGCTTCTGCTCATCTCCCGAAAAGTGGCTATATAATTAAAGTACCATAATGAGTTGGACTTTCTGCTCTAAAAGTAAAAGCAGGAGGTACCCAAACTCTCTGAAAAAAACTAGATCCTTAAAGAGTTCAAGTGTAATACACACACACACACACACACACACACATCATACATACATACATACATACATACATACATACATACATACATACATACATACATACCCACACAAACACACAATGTATATGCACACCTATATTCGTTTTTGTATTATTATGAAATGCGATTGGCCAGCATTTGATCAGAAAATTTGATCACTTTTGCCCACATTATTCTTTATCGTAATCAGTTTTGCATCTTTTGCAGATTTTATTTGCCACTAGAGAAAATATTACCATTCCCACATATTTTATTCAATTTGGCCTTAAATTTAAAAGCTAGAGATGTCTGGGTAAATTCTATTATTATGCTGTTTTAAAAAATACTATGAAAACAATTGCTATGATTGCTTTGTTTTCAGAAATAAATGAAAACAAAAAGGGAACTGCTTGATGAATATCTAACTTCTAATCTGATTTCTATGAAAATGCAGAAAATAATTATTAATAATCCATGTTTGCCTTCCTTTCATTTGTATTTGAAGTGTTCAATATGTAGGTCACATAGTACAATGCAAAATATAATTATAATGATATAAATATATATGGGAATCAGCAAAATGTAAGAAAGCCTGATTATGCATTGGATTTTGCTTACTATATGATATGCCAAGCTATTACCATGAATTAAAAGAAAGAGGCATCCATATCCGTTTATTCAATTTTAAGCACAAGTAGATTATTTTATGTTTCAATAGAGAAGGATTGATCTGACAAATTGAAAAATATTTGAAATATACTAACAATTAATGATGTTCAGATAATTATTAATTACAGATGCTAAAATGGATTCAGAATTATACAGATGTGTATATATATATGGCTTTGTAGATATATGAAACATCAATATGAATAGGAATGTATAATCTAATATTTTAATTTTATATACAGGAATATAATGAATGACTATTTTGTACATGAAACACATAAACTTTTTAAGCATTTTAAATTCACTAGATAGGAATTTGTATTAACAATAAAACTGGAAATCCCAGTTAATATTTAATTTATATCTATGCTTTTAACAAGAAAAGATTTTTCATAGTTTACAACATAGAAACATAGACATATTAAACAAAACAGTAAAAATAATTTACATAAACCGTAGTGTATGAAAAAAGATTGGATGGAAGTTTTGGTTCTTGTCTTTGCCTATGACTAATATGCATATACTGAATGATTTGTCCTAGCCTTTGATATGATAAAATAATTTAGAAGCACTTCATGCAATATGGAAGCAAAAAGGGCAGGTTCTCCAATATTCCCGGCTATCTTGATTATTTACTAAACATCAAACATAGACCACCAGATGCATGATAATGCAACCGTCAGATACCAACGAAGAGCACTAGCCTCAGTCTTTCTTTAAAAATAAATATAGATGTTAATATCTCCTATGCATAATACCAATACAGTTTACAACTTCTATTCTGTATGTTAGTAGATCCAGTAATGGTCTGCAGACTTTTATATAAAAGATCCCTAACAGAATTTTCTTGTTTTCACTAATTTGCTTTGATATTTGACCGAATACCCACTATGTCCTATGACATAAACATCCAGAACATAGGATTTGCCAGGCTTTAGACCTTTAATTGTCTCTGTGGTAACTGCTTTTTGTAGATTTTGACTGTGAAAATACTTACAGAGGACTTTTTCTGATTTTTTTCTCAAGTCTGGTCCCAGACACTGATTTTGTTCTCTTTTCTTTTTCTCCTCATTATAATTGTCATCTACTTCTTTCTTGTAGATGCAAAACTTGTTTCTTTCTTGTGTACCTAGCCATGCCACTGTGACTGAGGAACATGTGCGAAGTTTATCAAAGGCTTTGATTCTTGTATCTTCAGGAAGAGATGGAAATGACTGCTTATTGGGCCTTGTTGTGGCTAAAAACTTCAATATGGAAGCTCCCTTCTTATTTCCTTTCAGTCGGACAAGGTATTTGGCTTTTGGCTTTCCCCTAAGTTGAAACTGATGGACACCCTCAACATTTTGAGATAACCGAAGTTTTCCATCTCTTTTGATTTGCATTTGTATGTCATTGAGACATGAGTGAACCAAAAATGTAACTTTTTGATGTGATGAAACAGGAGCAAACCGCAAAAAAATTGTGCCTTTTCCCTTGACGAACACATCTGTAACCTTCCCATCTTTTAAATCAACTGTCTTCTGTTTGGCCTCCTCTTTAGTTCTTGCAAAAGTACCAACATAGGCAGTACTCATATTTGTATTGACATTTACAGCAAATATATCAAAATAGTACTGTGTACCAGGTTTCAGTTCAGATACAGTAAATATATTCTTGTTTCCAATGCATATCTTTTCCAGATCAACCTTAGGCTTTGAATAAAGTTTTGAATAAAGCTTTGGTGTTGCTTTTAAGAAGCTGCGTTCTTTCCCAAAATTACTGTTGGAAGAAAATCCAAAATGGGCAAAATCAAAAGGGCTAAAATCCAGACCAGGTTTAGGAGCTTTCATAAATGTATCATCAGCAGTCTGTTTAGTCTCAACAGCACAGAGACTTTTGAAATTGTGTTCTTTATTAATGACTACACAGTATTGTATTGGCTGTTTCAATACTGAAGCTGTAGGGCTAGGTTTCCATGCCAAACTGACAGTTGTACGACCAAAAGAAGTAACATCAACTCTTGGATCATAAGGTAGTTCAGGATATGGTTGATCTGACTCTGGAGTTGTACTAGCATAGACTTTAAAGTTTGTATCCTTTTCTGTTGACCAGAGTTCTAACTGGTATAACCCGGAAGGTGAAGTAGAAGATACAAAATACTCAACATCATTTCCTCTGTATGAAAATAGCTCTGTGTCTTCTTCACGAATAATCTGCTGATTCTGTTGTTCAAGTGGCTCCAGTTCACCTAGAAGAGACAAAAATGAGGAATTCTGAAACAAAGCAAACACAAAACACAGTATGGTTTCTAAAGGGAGGGCCTAAATGTGTTGGCCTCTTAGGAAAACCAGATAGTAAATATGATTAGATGAACTAATACTACTTTACTATAAAGCTATATTAAAAGAAATGTTCAAATCTGAAGTTATAAATTTCCTGCTGCTGCTTTTAATTTCCTAATCAATTAAAGAAAGCTTCTTTCTCTGACAGTTAAGCTACTTGGCTGTCTCTCCTCCCTTGTCTGATCATTTCATCTGCAATATTTCTTTCCCTTGTTCCTCAGGTCATTGTTACGTACTATTACAAAATACTGCAGATCTATTGAAATGCAAAGATGGGGGATGTTATTGTTTTCCTAAGCAGCTTTAATTATTTTTTCTCTCTCTCTTTGTTCTCATTGTTTTTTCATACATACACACACACACACAGCAATAAATAATACTGTAATACTATGCTGATCTCAGTATTAAATAACAAACTGAAAATAGATACCTTGTTATATTACAAAATAATGAAGTGAATTTCACAAAAGTCTATCAATACATATTTAGTTCTACAATTAGAGCAACTTTGTGTTTATTAACATTCAAAATTATAGTTAACATTGTTAACAACCTTGTTCCTGAAAAATGGTTTAGGTAATCTAAATTAATAAAGTTAGCAATTTATAGTTTACACAAATACTGTTGTATATATGTATTTTATATGATTTGCATCTCATAACATAGTAAAACAGAAGATCTTTATAAACAAAAACAGAGGAGATTTTGGAAAAAGATGTTTTATATGAAAAACTAAACTGCTAAAATCAACTTTTATATATAATGCTTCTTATATACATATATAATAAATCCTTTCAAGTTGCCATGAAAAGGCAGGTTGAGGTTACTGCTGTACCTTGCACAAACGCCCCAATTACTAGAATATTTTTCTGTGTTATTTTAATTTTATTGTTTAATTACTATTTCATGGCATTTTAGGCACTCTGGTGAAAATCTTTTTCCTTTCCTATTTGTATTGTTGATCAATTACATTCCAACAAAATCAAGTATTCAGACTCCAATAACATATTCAAGCTATAGGTCCTTTCAGGATCTAGTTCCACAGCCTGGGAATTGCATTTCTGTTACACATTTCTGTTAATCTTTGGGTGCTAGGTGACTTTTTAATGTTTAAATCTAAGTTTAAAACCTTTTTGGGATTCTGAAAAATAGTGGTAATACGAGATTGAGGATTTAAGCTTCTGGACTGGCCTTGGCTTTCCTGACTTTTTTGTATATTGCTTACTCTTATTTTACTAGTTATAATAAAAAGTAGCTTTTATATGCTCCAATTTAATTCTGTTAGAATTAGAGATGTCTCAGTTTGTAATATAACTATTTTGTGATTTTTATATATTTTAATTGATACTGTTTCATTTCTTTTTTATGTTTAGCTTTTAAGGGTTATATAAATAAACATTAATATTGTGTTTTTATTAGAAAAAGAAAAATCCAAATAGGGAACTTCATATATTGAAAATATTAGTTTTAAGATATCTAGGGATGCAAGGTTCTTCGTTTATAATAATACATGTTCCTTTTACAAAAGAAAAATCGGCAATATACAGCAGGTTGCCCACTTCCCTCGTTATAATTTTTTTGCTCCAATATGTAGTGGAAAACTATTTGATCAAAAGCTTCCTATCTCAAAAATTAGAGTTCTGTATTAGACAAGCAGTTCCATTGTTGAATATAATCCACATGAGAAGCATGGTAGAATGCTTTATTGTACAGTTTAGTCCTTGATTTACAAAAGTTCATTTAGTGACGTTCAAAGTTATGGCTCTGAAAAAAGAGTTTTTCACACTTATAAATGTGGCAGCATTCCCATGGTCATGTGATCAAAATTCGGATGTTTGCAACTGACTCATATTTATGATGGTTGTAGTGTCCTGGATCATGTGATCCCCTTTTGCGACCTTCTGACAAGCAAAGTCAATAGGGAATCCAGATTCGCTTAACACTGTGTTACTAACTTGACAACTATAGTGCACTTAACAACTGTGGCAAGAAAGGACATAAAATGAGACAAAACTCACTTAGCAGCTGTCTCACTAAGCAACAGAAACCTGGGGTTAAATTGTGGTTGAGAGTCGAGAACTACCTGTACTTTTTCTGTTCGTGTGATGTAAAAGCTTGCTTATTTTAGCGGTACGTATTTATATATGTAGAGTACATATAAAGAATTATGGCTACACCTGAGATTTGTGCAGGAGAAGAATAGGTGAAATAAGATATCCTCAATGGTCAAACAATTGGCAACTCCAAATCTCATCCAACAAATGCTTTGTCTTACGCACTGGCAAAAAAAATCAGAACACAAAATACAAGCTGGGCAGATATGACCTCGTAGACGACCCCCACTCTGTCAAGGACCTTGGAGTACTCAGCTCAAATAATCTAGGTGCTAGAACTCATGGTAACAGCATTGCCAAAAAGGCATTAAGGTTGTTAACCTAATCTTGCAAAGTTTCTTCTCCGGTAATACTGAACTGCAAACTAGGGCATACAAAACTTTTGCTAGATCAATTCTTGAATACAACTCATCTATCTGGAACCTGCACTACATATCAGACATTAATACAATCAAATGAGTCCAGAGGTATTTCACAAGAAGAGTACTCCACTCCTCTGCTCACAACAGAATACCTTATGCCACCAGACTTGAAATTTTGAGCTTCAACAACTTAGAACTTCGCCGTCTTTGATACAACCTAAGTGTAGTACATAAAATTATCTGCTACAATGTCCTACCTGTCAATGAATACTTCAGCTTCAACCACAGCAGAACACAAGCACACAATAGATACAAACTTATGGTAAACCGCTCCAAACTTGATTGCAGAAAATATGACTTCAGTAACAGAGTTGTCAATGCCTGGAATGCACTACCTGACCCTGTGGCTTCTTCCCCAAACCCCGAAAACTTTAGCCTTAGACTGTCTACTGTCAATCTCAACCCATTCCTAAGAGATCTTTAAGGGGCATGCATAAGCGCACCAGCGTGCCTACTATCCCTGTCCTAATATTCCCATGTATTCGTATTCAAAATCATGTTTATACTTATATCTGTTATCTAATTCATGCTTGGTGAAATAAATAAAATTTAAAAAAACTTTTAACTAGGAGAATGACTTTTTTGATAAGGCAGGAAACATGTAATCTTTCATTCAATTGTTAAAAATTAATTCTTATTCACTAATTTTTAAAGCAGCAATTACTGATGGAATTTAGTATATTTTCTACATCAGCTTATTCATATTTAACAAAATTAATAATATTTGTTCGGTTTTTGCTATAATTTACCTGAGCCTTCTCCACTTGACTCTTCAGGGAGGTCTTGCAAACTCAGTTTCCATTCCAAAGGTGTGTCACAAGGAGTCACTGTAACTGCAAATGGTGTATTATCTTCCTCTACCACAAAAAAAAACCTATGAAAAGATGAATAAAAGCATAACTTTCTTCACAATACAAAATTAAGGACAGAGAGAGAGAGCAGAATATAAGTAACTCATATATTGAACTATGGGGTCCTTGATGCTCTCTGAGCTTGGTTGTTTACTTTCAATTTCATTTCATGAAATTGATGGTATTCAACTAAGGAATATCATCAGTGCAAGTGATTATGGCATTTGTTCCCTATTTACATATTGCAGCTTGCCCTGCCATTATTGGTGGGATGTGGTTTGTCTTTGGTAGAGCCTTGATTACGATATAGTTTTCTGCTTAATTTGGTTTGTTTGATTTGGTTTGTCTGATGTTAATTCCAATTTATGTGGCTATAGGCTGTGGAGAAGATGTATTCTCATATTCTTGTTTCCTATTCTTAGCTTATTTATTGTCTCTTTTGAATGTTACATGAATGTGGTTTATTTCTATGTGCCTATTGATGGCAGATTTTTCTGAATGCCAAGCCTCCTAGAAATTCCTGGGATTTTTTGGATTCAACTTGGTCTAGGATGCTTACAGTTTCCCAGTTTAAATTATGGTTGAGTCTGTCCATGTGTTATGAGATTAAGGAGTTTTCATGTCTTCTGACTGCTAGTTAGTGTTAAATGAGCTCTGCTAGCAATCACTAAAGAAGAATCATAGCAGATGAAAAACAGTGGACATCCTGCATTAGACACAAGATATAATACTAGGTGGAGGTGACTTTGGGGGACAGTACAAAGATATGAAGTCAAGGGAACAGACAGGTAAAACACAATTTAGCTTATAGCAGGAAGCAAGGCCTCCTCCGAGTTCCATCTGCCGGTCAATGCCGACTGGCAACTACGTGGAGGAGAGCCTTCTCGGTGGCAGCTCCGACCCTATGGAACGATCTCCCCGTGGAGATTCGTACCCTCACCACCCTCCAGACCTTCCGCACAGCCCTCAAAACCTGGTGATTAACAATTCTAATGGCTTAGGA